ACCCAAACATCTTTCTAAACTTGCACAAAGACTTTTCAGCATTTCACCTTCTCAAGCTAATTGCGAAAGAAATTTTTCAACTCTTAAATGGTTTATTGGAGACAAACGAACGCGTCTTGGAATTGAAAAGCTTGAAGGAATGGCTAAAATTAGGTCTTATCACATGACGAATATACGAAGTGAACTTACTTATTTTGATGCCGAGTTGACTGAATCAGAATTACGTGAGATGGTAAAGATTGCAACAATTGATGATTATATTTCAGATGAGGATGAAATAGGTGAAAATAATGATGATACGTATGAAGAAAGCTCAAACTCATTATCTCTAAATTATATAATTTTAGAAGATGTAGTAAATTTGCAGGATCCCATTTTTCAAGATAGAGAAATCGCACAATTTGAATTTTCTACTGACATTGCAGATATGACCGATAGTATTGAAGACAATATTGACATGGACTTTAATCCTGAAGATCTTGTCGATACTATTCTAAGTGCTGAATTGGAGATTAAATAATTACTGTAATAAACGCAGATTACATTAAATAGCTTTACATTGAAAAATTTAATAAGAATTTGCATATATGTATAAACAAATATATAAATTGATGCTTTAATTATTTTCAAAAGAACGTAAAAAATGCATCTAATAATATCCCTTATTTTAAAATGTATGGTACGTTTCAATTGAAAGAGAAAAAATTTTACATTCTATAAATGACAATTAATAAGGCACTTTCATTTTAATGAAGTGATTCGTTCTACTACTGTAGTAAAAATCTTAAAAAATTCATTATACAGTATCAAAGGTTTATTAATATGTTCACTATCTGAAAAGTTTTCGTACAGATAGATTTTGAGTTCAGTTTTTTTCATATAACGAATGATTGGTATGGTCTATTATTATGGCACATATCTAAAGTTACGACATAAGCCAATTTTACGGCATATATCCGACATTACGACAAACGTTAGTTGTAGCTTTTTGACGTATCGATCACGTCTTGAGTTACGACCATGGATGCTACAAAAAAGTTACGTCATCGATCAAATTTCTGCACCAATAATATATATATACATATATTTAACTATCTAAACTATAGATCTAATATTTCCTGACTACTTTATTGAGTACCCAAGAACAGTCTGCCTTACTGAATAAGTTATTTTGCTCACACCGGAAGGCTGCACCAAGCTAGTCTGTGAAGCTATATCAAAATAGCTTTGTTTTATTTTTAATAAAATTTTTGATAGCCTCAAACCAAGTACTCACTTTTTTTCTTTACTTCTTCTTTTTTACTCTCATTACTTTTTTTTTCTTATTCTTTTTCTTAGTTTGATCTTAGCTATTTCCTTCTACTGAAACTAATTTATTCTCTTTATTGCTAAGGTTTAGCTTTTCTGAAATAGAGCTTTTTTTTTTTTTTTTTTTTTGAGCCTATTCTTTTTTTCTTCTCTCAATCATTTATGTATGCACATCTTGGTTTCCAAATATTTTCATAAAAGTAATTTCATGCTGAGTTGATCACTGTTTTTAAGTAGCTTCTAAATTCTTTTAGGCTTTCTACCATTTCGAGAATTCTTTTCACAACCTCTTCTTTAATCAAACCTTTAAGTACACCAACTCTAGTTTCGATCTTTCTTTCTTCTGATGAGCCTCACAGAGTTCTTCTCAGTTAAACTTTATCAAGGTGACTACGGGTTTCTTCTAATAAGGCTGTCCAAGCCAGGTTTGAAGCTAGTTGCTCTGCATCTTTCCATTTTACTTCATATTTTTTACAAGTTATCAAATGTTCTTGGTCCTCTTTTTCATCTTTTCTATATATTATGCATGTTGAGCTATCATATAATTCTGGTTTTCTGACTGATAATATTTTCAGTATTGGTAGTTTTTTGTGTAGACATTTATCTATCACACCTAGATGCTTATTTTTTCTTGAACTTGTACATCATATACCACTTTAATTTCTAATCTTTTTACATAAAATGTGCCAATATCAGGTTTGTATACTGTCTTCAAATTCTATTTTTCTTACTGCCAAGGAAGATTTCCATTCTATTCCTGTCTTGAGGTTGAGAATTAATCGTAGAAATTCTCTTGTAGGGTCTTCTACTATTGTCTCTTCCTAGCATAAAATAACATTCGATTCCTGAAAGAGTTTTTTTATAATTTATCACTATCTTCTATTCTAGATCCTAATTTAGCTAATTTATTTGCTCTACTATTCCAACTATTATTGCTATGACCTTTAATCTTTTCTAATTTTAGTTGTAATTTCTTCATTTTTATTATATTTAAAATGCATTTTACCAAATTATAATTTCTTTTCTTAAACCATTTTTTTGCTGACATATTTTGCTTTTCTCTTCAATCTTAGTTATAGCTATCGCACTATCTGTACAAATCTTGATCTTTCTTTTACTAAGTATAATAAGCAGTATACACCAGATTCTGAGTAGCTCTGTTTTGTTAAGGATAGCCAATTTCTTGCTTCAAAATACCCTTCATCTATTGCTTTTTCTCTTCTTCATCTACTAGTATCCAGCTTGCTTCCATTCTATCTGCTTTGAATTAAGATAACCTTCTGCTATTTCTTAAAGATCTATTGGTATAGAATTTAAACTGTATCAAGGAGTATTCTTGTAATTTTCTGTTCTTCTCTAATAGAAAACTTTGTATTTCTTGACCAATTTGCTGTTTCTTAATGATTTTCGCATTCAAATCATATATTCTAATTTTTTGAACCGCACTTTCACCTCTTGGTATCTTTAGTTTGGAGGAAACTTGCATCAACTATATTATTTCTAGATTAATTTTTAGAGCTTTTCCTTTTTGTTTGTTGACAAATTTTGTTATAGAACCTTGGATCTTCTCTTCACTCAAATGGCCTTTACAAGAATTCACTTCTTTTTTTTAGTTGAGTTCGCAACCTTCGCATCTTTCTATAATTATGCTTTTTGTACTTGGGTTTAAATTTGGTTTTCAGTATTCTGTAATTCATCTCTTTTTGATTTACTTATAATTCTTTTGACTGATGTTTTTATTTCTTGCCATTTCAGATGCTTTTATCAGCACCCATTTTTGTTTCTTCTATCTACTTCTAAAGGATCTGCAGAGATTTGAAGAGACTAGAAGCTAGGTTCTTCTATCTTGTATTTTGGCTTTATAGTCCTATCTTCACTATTTTCGATCATTGCCTCCTCTATTAAACAAAACCACTTTACACTTTTACCTCTATATGAAAGATGCTTAAGTATTTTGAGCTGCTGCCAAGTTATCATCTGATCTCCTATATGAATTAATAGTTGTTTGAGAAATATAATATTAAACTTTCTAAGCATTGTTACTACTTGCGATGTAAACTTCTTTTCAAGAATATTTACTATTCTGAATTTCTTGTCATCACCTATAAGCTCTGTGTTTTTAAATTTAAATATAATGTTTAATTTCTTGGTCTTTAGCATTGTTAGACAAGCTAAGTTATTCTTCTAAAGATGAGTACAAGTGTCTGGTAGTTCATAGAACCACATATTTTCAGCTGCTCCTAAAAACTGCAGCTCTTAACTTATTCTTAATAACATTAGTATTTCTTCAAATCCTGCTGAGTTTAGTCACAAATGTAGATTGGAGACTTGCTTGATTAACAGCTAATTCTATAATGCATTGCAGCTTTTAATGCTTCTGTAAAGAATTGTACTATTGTTTGTGATTCTTGCTAACTTCATTTTCTGCTTTGCTAGTATTAATATTGGTGCTTGAAGGTCATCTATTGTCTTTTTAGTGAATCTTAACACTTGTAACATGTAATACAATTTAGGAACTATAGCTGTTGATGTTTTATCTAATAATGAATTTGAACAAATATTTAATAATTTAGAGTATGAAATGAGTAAAGCATATAAATATTTCGAAAAATAAATAGAGCAATAATTACATTTGCCTCTGACAATTTGTTAGTTAGATAAAGATCATGCACAATTATTTGTAAACAGTTTTCAATTTGTGATTCTTAAAAAGGATTGGATTAAATCACTTTCAGAATTGAAATTAGAATATGCGAATGAACTAAAAAATGATATTGATAATGGGAATACTAATGATTTCAGCTTGCATTCATTGTTATTGAATGATATTAAGTTTTATGAAGAATTTGAAAATTTCTGCAAAACCAATCATTTAGAATTATATAAATTCTCTAAACTTTATAATTTTGTTCAAACACATATTTACTTTATTGTCATTTACCAGCAACAAGTCGAGGGACTTTTCAATAAACTCGATTTAAAGATCCGTGCCAATATGTCTTTATTGTCAAAGGAATCTAAACTTCGTTTAACTTCAGATAAGATTGAACATAAAGTCAGACCAATTTAATTCGGTGGTTTACATTACATCCTTCTCACAAAAGAGGGGGGGCTGGAGGGAGTTTATTATAAAAATTTTCTCCGAAATAATCCACGATATTATAAAAGTTTTCCGAAATTTTCCGCATATATAGTGAGGGGGGAAAATGGGGGAAGGCAGAAGGGGGGGTAATGTAAACCACCGAATTAAATTGGTCTGGCCTAAGGATTTGAAGTTGGGTCTTAAAAAATATGGGCAAAAGAACAAAACGATCAACTACTATATTGCAAGACATTCAACTACCAGAATTCGGAGAAGAAGTCGCATCGAATTTCTTTAATAATTTATTAAATTCATAAATAAATTTATATAAAAACCTGTATTTCTGTATTTGTATATATTGTAATTGTTCTTGCCGATCATTTTAATTATAAAAAAAAAATTCAATATGTAATTTTTATATGGTACTCATATAGTTTTGATTTACTTAGTTGACCGCACACCCCAATGTTTAGTGCAAAGGTAGCGAATTTCGCATCTTAACACAAACATGGGTTGCTAGCTATGCTAGAAAAAAAAATACGACGCTATTTTAAATGCTACAAAACCGAAGACCCTGGCACGTACGTACGTACGTACGAACGAATAATCGATGCAAATTCATTCACGTTTTATATCTGTGATCACTGGCCAATCAAAACACCGGATTTGCACACTTGCCATCATTACTACGTTTTCTGGTATAATTTATGGTAAGGCCAAACTGCTTTCCCAACTAGAGATGTAATCTAAGCTATTTGGGATGTCCCGAATTATGTGATAACTTATTACCCAAAACTGTGTGATACTAATCATTACATAGTTGTGACGTCCCAGCTAATTTAAGTTACATTTTCTCAAATCTTTAGGTCGACCTTTTTCTATTAATATTATGCATATTTGCACACCTATTAGCTATATTTTAAGAATTATTATCGTTTCTCGAATCTCCGACTCAATGCCTATGACTCGGTTTTTGAATTCGGTTGCAAACACTACTTTCACTTACTATTCGCATAATTTATTACATTAAGATGTATTCTTTTTTAATAAGATACAGTACTACGTAACACTAACCCCGTTTCTGGTTTCAGCGCGACTGCGTTGCGCAGTTATCTAATTAGCTCGCTAAATTATCTGGCTTGAAATGAACTTATCTGGCTTGAAATGAACTTGTTTCAAGTCTTAGTTTGCTGATTGTGAATATAAAATTTTTACGTATAAACTTATTAATAATCAGGATTTTGGATCTGGAATTTGGAATTTGGATTTGGGATTTACCGGTAAGTTTGGGATTTGACTAAGGTTTGGGGTTTTGTTATCCAAAATTTATTTGTCCAGTTTGACTATTTGGGATAAGCATAGCTGGACAATCCCATTTGTCCTGGCATGTCCAGGCCCAAATCCCAAGTTCCAAATATTTAGACGACAATTATACTGTACATATTATCAAGAAATTTTCTTTTAAAACTATCCAAACTTCAATATATGAGTAATTTTAAATGCCCACTTATATTCACAGGACTACGTTCGTCGTAAAAATAACAGATAATGGTTTAAGCCACATGGTTTTTGTTGGCTTTGTACGTAAAAATATTTCGAAACTTTTCAGAATTTAGTGACTTACAATCATGTGAACTTTAGCCGCATTAGCCAGCCAACTTTATGATGTTTGCTGGCTTAGCTGGCTAAGCCAATTTAACTGCTGCTTCCTTATCCAGATTAAATAAATGCATTTGGGTCAAGCCTATAATAAACAGGTTAACTATACGTGTGTCACTATCTTCGCTTAATCAATCAAATTAAAGCACGCAAATCATTATCGTTATTGGATTTTTCATGTGATTAATTGATTTTGACAAGAGCTACAACCTTTTTTTATCCATTTGAAATAAGGAAGAATTCCTAAAAACTTGACTATATGGAAAGTGAAGCTGCGCGGGAAGAAAAACTATTGGCAGCCAAGAAGAAGGTATTTTTATTTTCTTTTTATTAAAAATTCGTTTCAAATTCTAGTTTAACCTTATTTTTAGCTCAGGAAATATCAGAAGAAAAAAGCCACAAATGCTTCTACCGATGGCTCTTCGACTTCAACACGTAGAACAAGTTTAGAATCTACCGCTGCAACAAGCACCAGAAGGTCCAGCGTGACCTCGGACTCAGGAAGTGTTAGAACTGACGGAACTAGCCAAGAGTAAGTACTTGAATATCTTTATTTGCTTAAGCATGCAAGGATCTTGCAATATTGGTAGTATTTGTCGAAGGATGATTTAAAAAAAAATACAGAACATCTAAGATTGAACTCTGTTATAAGAGCAATGATAAAAATATTATTCATACTGATGACAAAACAAAAATCAAATAAATTTTTCTTTAGTATATATTATTCGATTCGCTAATATCGTTCATAATTGGTACAGGATAAATACAACCGTTGATGAAAATAATGCACATGCCGAAGTTGTACCAAATAATAACGAAGTACCAGCAAGCCAAGCTTTACCGTGAGTTTTTTGTTTATTACCAATAATTATTATTATTTTATATATATATTCTGTAAATTTAACGTAATTCATTCATCGTTTTTTGGCTTCTAGTTTAACATCTCATGGTTCTTTAGTTGAAGGTCTACAACCAATCACGTTACCTCCTGGACAACAATCTCAAACAGACCTTTTATCAAATACAATTGATTCTGTTCCTGTTGAAAATACTATATCTTCCGGTATATCAGGCGATGAACCTTTTTCTTTCGAAGCACTTGCTAACATATGTCGTATGCAACAACAAACCATCGCTTTACTTGTAGAAGAAAAGACTGCGTTGGCATCAGAATTAGAAAAATATTCTGCAATGGCTGATCGTTTTAAAAGTAGTGAGGAGTTGTTGGAAGAGGGTCAGTTGTTAGTCGACGCTTTAAGGCGTCAGAATAGTGAATTGGAAGAAAAGATTCGAAATGGTGAAGATCGATTGAAAGATTCAGATGATCAGAAAAAAAAAATAATAGAATCATTACAATCACAAGTATTCTATTTATTACATTTATATTAACAGGTTTAACTCGTTATATTTCAAAACCAGTTTTTTTAACCTTTTAATTTCAAATATAATTTAGAATACACGTGTTGAACAGCTAGAAAAGGATAACAAGCAACTTATGTCCCAATTGAATAATAAAGATTCAATAATCGAACAACTCACTACAGAAAAGGCCAAAATTCGTTCTGTATCTGATGAAGTAGAAGCTTTACAAAAAACCCTTCAAGATAAAGAAGATAGATGTGAGGCACTTGAAATAGAGTTATCAAACCTACGACATTTGTTAACTAATGCGGAGCAACAGCTCTCTGAAAAAGAAAGCAAGCTTTTGGTCATCGAACGTGAATCACGTGAAACCATGACAAAATTCGAATCTATGACCAATCAAATCCAATCGCTAACTGATGATAAGAATCGAATTAGTCAACAATTAGAGGAGAAATCAAGCGAGCTCGAAGCTTTGAAAAACGAATTTACTGAAGTTAATGAACAACTAAAATTAAAAATAGCTGTAGTAGATGAATTGCATCGAGAGCACGACAATTTCTCTTCGGAATTGCAAACTTCTCAATCAGAAAATTCAAAATTGACAAAACGGATTAAAGATATTACAACCAAAAATGATGGTTTATCATCTGATAATCGAAACTTGATTTCTCAATTGACTGAATTACAAGCAAAAATTGTAGAGATAAATAATGATAAATTAAATTTAACTGAAGAAGTGGAAAAAGAAAAATTAAAAGCTACAAAACTGGAACAAGAAGTTGCTAAAATTCAGAAAGAGTTGGCTTCATTAAAAGAAAATATGGTGTATAACAACGGAACTACTTTAGTGGGTAACAATACTACCCGTGACGTTGGTCGACGATTTAATTCGGTTTACAATTCTGTTCAAAATCAGCGGAATGATTCAACTCGTCGTACTAGTCTATCACCACCAAATAGCGCAAACCGTCGATATTCATTTTCTCAGTTTAGTGGCGATTTTGAGATCGGAAGATGTTCAGGATGCATTGGTGAAGTTATCACAGTGTAAAAAAAAAAAAAAAAAAAACATTAAATAATTTTTTAAATGAAAAAAGTGAATTTTTATGAAATTAGAGTAACAGTAGTGGCACTTATTGATTATAATCGCAATGAATTTATTATTGTTAATTTTTAATCATGTTTAGACAAGTAATTTAGATAATTATTAATTAATCTTTATTACATCTTTAAGATAATATTTACTTAAAAATAATTTTAGTTTTGCTAGCTCATTAGCAATTGTTCTTTGTACTTCCGCTTTCAATTCATTTCTTATTTTTTGTAATTTTGGATCATCCAAGTCTGGGGAAGGTAATGGTTCAATATAACGCTCCATATACTCTCTATGTAATTGTTGTTCTGGCGATTGCATCATCCCCATTTCTTGGTGCATTTGTGTATTAAACAGGGGAGACTCTTTTCCCGAAGTATGTTGAAGTAATTCGTATTGAGGATGAGCATTCGAATTCTCTGCGTAAGGTTTAGATGCAAACGAACCAAATTCTGGAGGTGGTGGAACCGACTTAAGGATCTATTTAAAAAAAAGAATTAATTATAGAAAATGGTAAAATTTTAAAATTTAAATTCATAAAGTTCTTACATACATAACGCTGTATAACACCCCAAGGATTGACCCTTCGTGATCCTAACAAAATAAAATATGCAGCACTAAGGATGCTTACAAAACCTCCCATATTAGCTGTCAGTTGGAATAGAGAGAACTCTACCCGATTGTACCAAATGTCTACAGGATATTCTTGAGAATTTGTTCTTGCATTAGTTACATAATTAGATGGAATAATCCTAAAAAGTACCCAGAGATGTGAATCTATTTGAAATCCTTCAAGAGCAAAACTTGTGAATGAAGTTTCATATATGATATTTGCTCCAGGCTGAGTCTGTGTACCCGAACTTGTACCACCTCCCGTTATTGCATCGGTTTTTACAACATCGTATTTTTCGATTCTTTTAAAATATATATAAGAAATCGCAGGCTGTATAAAATGTAAATTTATCTTTGTGCAATATGCATAATGACAACCGATAACATAATAAATATATATATAGTTACATACCATTTTAACAATTTGAAATTTAACATGTGTTGGATCTTCAAGTTCATTGAATATTCCGAAAAAAAACCATCTGCTCTGTGTAATGGCACCTAGCTAAATTTGGATAGTATAATAATATTTAAAATTCTGTTTCAATGTCAGATGACATAAACACAATCAATCGCTACGTATTATTACCGTGTTATTTGCAGCCTCGCTCGACCATAACGCGAGTGCTATCTTTTGTGTAGAATTATCAAATACAAGAGGATTTTCGCCAGACGACTCGTTAACAGGGTTATTAGGATTAAAAATATCTATAAAAAAAAAAAATAACTATTAATATTGACTTGCTGACCAATAATTTGGTGAAATCTTGTTCACGTACAACAATACTGCCGAGTCAAATTATCAAATCCGCGCATATTAATAAATTGTGTAGCATCTATCCTATTATTCGTTAGATATTCATTGCAACTTGCACCCTTTTTAAAAAATAATAATAAGAGGTTTAAGGAAAGGGACGATTAATCCTAACCGACTAGAATAAAATCGTACCAATTCATGATTATCATCAGCGGCGTTAAAAGCGCTTTTGTAACACAAAACAGGTCTATCAAGGGTAACTCCACATATTACAGCTCCTGGTACCTTTTTAAACAAAAATCTTTAATTAATAACAAAAGTCAACAGTAAAGTTTGATTGGATCATTAATTTACCGGTATCCTGGACCTTATAACGGATCTTAGAGAAACAACTGGTGAGCTTACAGCTTCGATCATCCTGTAGATATTCCATGCTAAGACACAAAAACAATGATTAGATTCATGGTAATGACATTGAGAGAATTTCTAAAGACAAATAATATACATCAGGCAATATATATGTGTCAGCTGCATAATGATCATCATTTGACCAGAATTAACAGATCAGCCTAAACTATCCTAATCCTGTTCCTAACTCTTAAGAGGAAGCACAACATATACAAGTACTCTTCCTTATTTCAAAGCTTACCTCCGTAAATAGCCGTCAAGAGTGTGATAACAATCAAAACTATAAGCTTGGCCTTCCTAAAGGTAATTGAAACATAAAACTATATGATGAAAATATCGCGATTTTTAGTTACTTATTTTAGGACTTTTTATTTACCCCTCTTTGGCTCGGATTTCTTCAAAATGGGATATATCGATGGGTACAACATTCTTTTGTGAAGAGGCCGACATGGCTAATTTTTAAAATCTCTACGTTGATGAATGTTATCAATGGTGCATTACAATTATTTATCATAGATACCAGAAAGAAGGTTAAGAAAGAAGGTTAAGAACAGTACGAAAAAATTGGATCATTTTTAAAACTACTGTAATAATCATATGATTATGGAGATAAAGAAACGGACCTTAAAATATAATATCACGGGGTTATACAGATATCTATTTCTGCAATCTAACTCAAAGGTAATATGTCTCTTTACTCACTTTACTCGCTTTACTCACTTTACTCAAGAGACGTCGCACTAACACTTTCACGGGTAAGTAATACTTTATTTCTTTCCAATACTATTTTTCTTTACAACGATTCCTCCTTCCTTTTCTTTATTTATTGTCTCTATTTATATTTATTCTAATTTAATTACATCATTTATGCTTCCTTATACTTTAATAAACTTTTAACTATTCTCTAATTACTGTCATTGTTTCGTCGATCGATGCTCACGTGCCACGTGACCCTGCCCTGATAATGCTACCCAACACTATCGACCCCTTCTTTTGTTATTCTTGTATGTGTATACAAGTCGTAGTAAATTAGCGACTTATATTACTATGATTAATTAAAAATTCTATTTACTTATATTGTTCACCTGATTTGTAATCAATCAATAAACTAGCGCGTATCCTTTTATGTTATGCATTTTGTAATATTTTCTCGCATATAAATATATTGATTTATCAATAGATTTATGTAATTATTATTCAAATTAGTCTATTGTTTCTCCTCGTTCTATACTTGTTTTGCCTCTATACTTGTTTGCGATTCCTTTCTTTAATATCCATTTCACATCATCATGGTAAAGACAACATGTGAGGGTTATTTCTTTATTTCGTTGATATCACCCAAGCATCATATTTATATATCTTGTCAAACGTAATACGAATTACGCATATCAAATGCACTTATTTGTTGTACAACATATTGTATATATGTGTTATTTTTAAGAGAAAAGTAATCCGAATCTAATCTATTATGTAGAAAAGCCACTTATCTTTAAAATTAAACTGCCCATTACTTATATGTAAGTTTTATTTTAACTGATATAGCATGACTAAAAATCCATCTTATTGATCTTATTGGTTATTCATTGGATACTGTACGAAAATACAATCAATTATATAAAAAGTTTGACAAAACTGATTATATCAGATTAAAATTTGCCAGAAATAATATTGAATAACAAAATTTTTTAAAAATTTATTATCTATTTATTACCGTATTGTCGCGAAATAACAGGCCGGGACGTTATAAAAATAATATGTATGATTTCAAATAACGCCCCTGCGCGTCTCTAAATCACGCGCATCCTAAAAAAGTGCTTCGGAAGTAGGTTTACTTAGTATCAAACTTACTTCCAAGGCACTTTTTTGTTTACTTAAAAAGTTTATTTCAAAATAACGTCCCGGCACGTACTCTAAATAACGTTCCTATACTCAAAATAACGCGCCGGGGTGCGTTATTTCGGACAATACGGTATATAATTTTATTACTTGCAAATCAATATACTATATTATAAAAAATTCCCGTGTAACATTTAGCTGCAAGGTATCGTTTAGATTACACTATATAAATTATTTATAATTGTGTAACAAATAAAATAAGCCAGGTTCAAGTAAACCCAAGCCGGGTTAAAGTGAAACCAAGCTGGGTTCAAATAAACCCAAGTTGGGTTCAAATGAATCCAAATAGAGTTTAAGTAAATCTAAGCTTCTGTGCATCGCACGGGTTTTCAGCTAGTAACTTACTATAATTTTTTTTACTATACTATAATTTTGTAATACTGTATATATTAAATTTAAAGGTAAAGTGTAATTTATAATAAAAAATTTATAGTAATTTATACAAAAAAATGATAGAATATATAAAAATAATTTTTAACAAAGTAAATTAATTTTTATATATTAAGTAAAGTTATTCACAATAACAAAATACATTGTTCTAAAATTTTTATTAAAATTAGTTAAAGATTAGCAAAAGTTTATATTTTTTTATTTTTTTCTTTAACTAGCCTTTTTGGGGCTAAGATTTTTTATTTAAGTATTGGGTAAGAAGGCTTACAGCAGAACCTTTTATTATATTAGAGAGTACAACTAGCTATACATACAACTTTTGGTTGTTTATTTAAGAAGTTTGTATATTAGTATTACACTATAGAGATTATACTATTTGCCATATTTATAACCCAACTAGAGGATTATCTATTTAAACTTTTTATAATGCAACTCCCTTATATCATCAGTATATTTCTGTTAGTTGAAAAGCCCAGATGCTTTCTCTATTTCCTTAGGACTAATTTATCCTTAAGACATTGTTATTAAAGCTTTCTATATTTACAATCTGGCTAACCTAGTTTTTAGTAACTTATACCAAGTTTGAAAACAAGTATTTGTAAGCTAAAACAATTCTTGTTATCTACTTCTGCTTTTGTAAAGTTTACCCAAACCCTAGTACCTACTATAATACTATCACTAGTATTTAAGTTTTGTTAATAATCTAAATTCTCAATTCAGATAGTCTGGAGGGACTGTGATCTGCTTCTAGTTCCCACAATTAGGTTTTTTTTCTTCAGTTACTCATTTGGCAGCCTGGTTAGTATAGTGTTTTTCTAAACACTTGGTCTTTATCCAAATTACTAAAATCAGTGTTCAAATCTCTTAAATAATCTTTTATATAGTATCATCAAACAGTATTGTCATAAGACAGTTGTGGACAGTAAGTTTAAACACTTTAGACAATTTTGAACAATTAAATAAATTAAAATTACTTAAAATTTTATTAAAATAACCTATATTATTTTTTAAGTAAAATATGTTCAGCATTTAAAAAAATATATAATTATATATTTGTTAAACAAATTTATTAATTATTAAAGCTTAGATATACTCTAGACACTTGTAGACACTTGGACACTTGGATGTTGGACAGTGCCAAAAAAGCCTTTGGACAGTCAAAACATATATTACTGCTATCAAAGATTTATATTATCTTTTTATTCAGAACTTGCCAAGTAGATTTTTATGTGCTTCAATTCCTAGATTGATTCAGCTGTTTTACTTGGGTTTTATATAATTCATGTGTCATATTAATATTTTACATTTTCTTAGTACAAGCTGGTACGACTAAGGTTACAGATGCTAATCTGTTAGATTATATACAGTCTGCTATAATACATTTTGTAAAATTTAAATTTTATCACCAGTAGGATTCAAACTCTTGTCCTGCTACTTGGAATGCAACAACTTACCAACTTCACTAAATCACTACACCCTAGCAAAAGTTTTTATATTAAAAATATTTATTAATAAAATATATAATATAAAGTTTTATTAGAGTTTTACTAATAAAATTTCTTAATATAAAAATTTTTGCTAGAGTGTGGCAACTTAGTGAAGTGGTCTAGTTGTCACATCCCAAGTATCAAGATCTAGGATTCAATTTCTACTATCAATGATATTTGAAAACTATACCTTAAATATCCTTCCATAAGTAGAATATATTAACTTAATTGGTGCTGGTCTTTGACTATAATTGTGATTATATTAATTTGATTTAGAAAACAGATCAGTGACCTCATATATAGTATTTATATTTGAAAACCTGTCTGAAGGGAGCCTTGATTAGGAATATAAAGGAATGCAAGCTGGTATATATAGATGTACCCCTGAATATCATACTATAGTTGGTGCAAACCCATAATAAATCTATATGAGAGTTATTTAACTTGTTGTATAAAGATTCTACAAGACTAAAGTTACTCGCAAAGTCCCGAATACAGTATCTATATCTGAAAACCCGTATTGCAGAGAGTTATGATTAGAAATATGAAGGAATGCAAGCTGGTATATATATAGTAAATATATTTCTAAATATTGTAGAATAGTCAGTACAAACCCACAATAAAACTGTATAAGGGTTATCCTAGCCATATAGAGTAGGACTATATGTTAGCTTCACCAAAAAATCACAAACACACTATATATAAACACAAACACAAATATTAAATTAAGAATATAAAGTATCTTTACATATAATATAAATGTAGTCGCCACCTTACTAAAAAATACATCTGTTGTAGTTAGTAAGGAGAATAAGGTATGGAGACCTCTATATCTGGAGGTTTGTATTAATGACGGTCAGACCCAATATACAGGACAGACTACAAGTTCTCTGGACACTGTGAAAACCAGATATATGGCAAGTGACCTAGTAAAAAATACTAATCAGACAGGTCTATCCTCAACATCATTAGAACCCTATAATCTGTCTATCTGCTATAACAGATTTTTAAACTACCACAAACTATCTATTATAACAATACCTACTATTATTGCTTTCTTTATACTATATTTAAGTTTATATTGAAACAAAAGTCAAAATCTCAATCTCATATTTTCTATACATAAACATTTACAAGAAGCACATATTTACCTTCCTTATGACTCACTTATTCTTTCTAATCATACTCAACTCAATCTTAATACTATCAAACATTACCTAAACACGCCTCTCAAATCTAATCATCCAACAGCTTCTTTAACATATTCACTAAATATCAAAAATAATCTTTTCCTAGATAATAAGATAGACTCTCCATCTATATTACCAATTACTCTATCTAAAAACCATCATATAAATCAACTCCTAAATATATCTGACACAGCTCAAAACCCTTCTGATCAATCTATCTTTATATTTGAACAAATCAAAATTTGCTCGCTCAATACAAATGGATTATCTTACTCCAAACAAACCTTACTTTACAACTTTATTATTGAGAACCAAATAAATATTTTTAGTCTTTCTGAAACTTATCTAGGTATCAAAGAAGCAAAATTACTCCCATTATCTCAAAATCTCTCTAACTATACCAATCTATGGAGTGAGGCCAACAATACTAGACAAGGTAAAGTTGGTCTCCTAATATATGAAAACCTTTCTAAATTTATCAGCAAAA